CCGCACCGCTGCCATTTCTAAAGCTCAAGTTTCCCCCGTAAAGAGCGGAGAACAGTCGTGGCACAGGATGAACCGGTACAGGAACAGGAACTGGCATCACCGATGGAAACGCTCCCGATCTCACGGTATTTGTGTTCGACATCATTCCCGAGTTAAAAATGATATCAGGAGGCGGAATCCCAGCTGGAATGCTCTGTATTTTCGATATATGGTGTCGTTGTTTCAAAATATGATTAAAGGCATCCTTGTCCAAGGTGGATCCAGTGACACGGTCGGTCAAGTGACTTCCTGAGGGATACGCGATCTCTTTAGTCAAGTCAAATCCGTCCAATTTGTACGCGTTGACTTTAGGCTGCTTTAAATCGTTGTGATAAAACGTGGAATTTTGCTGCATTATCTTCAAAGTGTCGCCACTATTGGCAGTGTACTGTTGATAATTGTGACAGCCGTATTTAGCAATAGGCTGATACAAGTTGCGTGAGCTCAGATTTTTTGGAAATCCTATGGGTGAATACGTCTTGGTTTCAATGGACTTTGATTTTGGATTGATCATCTTTAACAGGCTATTATCGATTCTACAGTCACTAGGGAAACAAACGTTCTCATTCGTGTCTAAGTTACTCGCCGAGGATGTGACGAAGCTGTTTGTACCACCGGGAGGATAATAATCGATTAAGTTTTTGTAATCTTGGTCCACTGCTTGATCCAGTTTGTAGCTACGTGCTTGCGACTGCTGCAAGAACTGAATCTGCTCGTTAGGTATGCTGATACTTGTCATATTTAATCTAGCGGTATCATGAACATCCTTGAAGTCGCCGATGCCGTTGCGTTGCATACCACTTCCGAAACAGGTGTGCAAAGTCGTATCGGCGGGCGAGAAATGTTGTAGCGGCGAGTTCGACAAGAAGCCGGAATCAACGCTCAGATCGGTCATCGCCGAGTTGGGCCTGTAGCCGGGACCCTGACCAGGGTTACCGGTAACGCCGTACATGTCATGCATGTTGACCATAGAATTGCTGTACGAGTTCGATGATGCGTTCTGCCTCACGCTGTTGTGATACTCGAACTCGCTGATGGGAACGGAGTTCGGTGAATCCAGAGCCAGGGTTAACGCGGTGACGTTAAAATTGAGATCTGGTTTAGCGCAATTTGAGATTCGTGAGTAGTTCCCGGTCAGCTCGCCTCGGCATCCCATCGACGGAGTCAACTGGAGGGGTTCCGTCCAGTTGCTCGACTGTTTACTGTAATTTACTCCACTCGTAGTCGTTAACAGATCATTGCACAATGGCATGCTGCTCCCACTCGTGTACATGCCACCGTCGTTGGAGTGTACAACGTGCATCGATCGTGGGTCAGACGAATATGCGTTTGGCATATCGTTGCTACACGCATTGTTCTGCTCCACAGACTGTCGCACGCAGCTACTGAGATTCAGTGTTTTCAGGTCGTTGCAGAGATTGTTGGAATGACGGTACTCGCTTTTGACGTTGTTGTGAATGTTGTGTAACTTGCTGGACAGGGGATAACGACTGACCAAGTGATCGACATCGGTCAGGTAGTCCAAACCGTCAGTGACCTGATTGGAGCAAGAATTGGCGTAGTCCGTCTGGTAATGAGTACTTGCACTGTTGTAATTATTGTAACAGGTGTCAATGGTAATAGAATCTTCGTCGAGAATCTTTGATACCAAGTCGTTGACCATGGGATTGTTTAAGTCTTGACTATCCTCGTCTTCGATATTCATCTAAACAAACCGCGATTGCATAACATTAATAATCCATTAGGAGATGTTAGGTCTGTTTTTATAGCTAAACTAGGATGCTTTCCGGCAAGAGACATAGGTGATGTAATATAATACAGTGAATTATTACATCTCCCCTTGTTATTTGCTAATATTAGCACAAAGATAAAATGACTCACTGTTGGTACTTTTCATTTGATGATACAAGTCAACACAAGTGTGTTCTGTCTTTGTTACATAGATATAAATAACAAGAAAAATAGGATGATGTTTGTGTTGCCTCGTGTTACTAAATGGATAGTGAGTTATTTTATGATACTCTGTGTCATCTGCGATCCTTTCTGAAAAGCGTCTACAGTGAACACTTTTTATACTTAAAGTGAAATTTTGACAAGAGGCAAAAAGAAAGTTCTAGGGCAGTTTAGTGCAACAATAAAAAATTAATCTGTTGTATATGTTACTGTATAAGAGGTGTAATCTCATACATAAAAATCTTAGGTCTATTTTTTATAGCGTAACTATATATTCTCTATACTTAAAAGATTTGTTTTTTACTCCTGCATTAGAATTTTCTTTCTTGCTTTCATCAAATTTAAAATATTTATTCCACTTTAAGTACAAAAAGTATACACTGGTTTAGCTATAAAATCAGAAAAAGTAAAATAGATTTTTGTTTGAAATCTAATACAAGCAAGAAGAAAACTTTTAGTGCAGAAATAAAAATAAACCTAGACTGTACTTTAAAATTAAATTGGTATATACTCTTTGTACCTGAAAGTTGTTTTTAATCTTGCAGTATATATAGATACTGTACTAGAATCTTCCTTCTTGCTTTCGTTAAATTTTAAATGTGTACTCTATATTTGAAATTTGATGAAAGCAAGAACTTCTAATGTAGGAATAAAAACAAATCTAACATCTCAGAGGTCTGTATTTTATAATTAAACTAGTATAAACTCTTTGCCCTTAAAATCTGCCCTTCTTAACTGAACTTCTTGCCCAGTTCATCTTTCTTTTTTTCTCCTCAATGTGAAAAGAAAACGAAGAGATAAACTATGTGCAAGAGGTTCAGCTAAAAACAAACTAAGTGCGAAACAGATATCACATATATATTTAATACTTGGTAAAAGCCAAAAAAAAATTCTAATGCAGCCCAGTGCAGCGATAAAAAGAACCTTTCGCTTACGTTTCTTTTTGTGCCGCAACCCGTTAAGTCATAGCTCCAATGATTGTACTCCACGCCGTGCATGTCCCTAGAGTAAACCTTCCGTGGTACTTCCAGCATATTGGCACCGCGCTCGGTCTCGTTATTCTACGGAAAGCAAGTCATCGTCGTGAGAGATCTCATATTCAAGGCACGCGTCGCGATTTAACGGAGCGACCGTGACTTCCGCGGGGAGATCTCGCGCTGCCCTTTGCCCAACCGCGCTCGTTCGCGCTCGTTCACGCTCGATCTCGAGAGGCCAGCGGGGACGAGTCTCGCGCGGCGACGGAGAGAGAGAAAGAAAGAGAGGGGGGGAGGAAGAAACAGAGAAAGAAACAGAGAGTCTATCGATTGTTTTCGAACGGCGCGACTCGAGGGCGGCTCGCGAATGTTACGCGACTACGTCGCGGCGAGCCGCGATGACGATGGAATCTTAACAACGAATCGAAGGCGGGAGAGCGCACGACGAGGCTATCGCTGTCACGATAGGGGCCGCGACACAGGCGCGCAAAAACGCACACACACACACACACACATATGTGTATATATATATATACACGCATACATGAGCAGGCACACGCACAGGACGGGACAGGCACCGACGAGCACACCGAGGGCAGATCCAATAATACGCGCGGATATCTTCGCTCGTCGGCGATCGGCGAGCGAGGACAGACGCGGGCGAATACCGTCACCATTTGCACCACCCGCGGAAATTGGATACGGCGAGCGAAACGGATCTCACCCCGCGCGGGCGTTCTCTCTCTTTCGTAGTTGCCGTATTAAACGATAATGCACGGGTCAGCACGGGTACAAACAAACGCGGATCGCACCCTTTCGCCTTCCTTGTCGGACGTGCGGCACGGCTGGTCCGTTCTTTCTAGCCGCAGTTTTCACGCAACCTCTCTCTTCTCTTCCTTTTCCCACCGCGACGCCCAAGTATATACATGCTTATGTCATTACGAGTGTAGAGAGTGTAAATGCGGTGCAACTAGACCGAAAAACCGTCGACGACGTATACGTATATACGTTCCATGAATTTCCATCGAGTTGCCAGCGAGGAAAAAAAAATGCCTCGACCTTTCAGATCGACGAAGAGGCGAGGATGTGGAATGTACGTGTTAAGAAGGAGATAACGTCTTTCCTCACCTTGCCAACGGCGAAAGCATTGCTGCCGATAACCGCGGCCAGATTATGCACCTCGGACAGAGCCATTCGTAAAAAAAAATCCGCGGCGGTCGTCAACACCGTCACCCAACACTACCATCGCTACTCGCCATCACCCTTTCGCTCTCTCGCGCGACAGCCAGTCCCCCCCCCCCCCGAACAGTCACCGACGTCGACTGACGTTTGCGTGCCCTGCGCCGCACCCCAATGCATCCACGCTGATCAACACCGCATTGACCTACATGGATCTACAACCGAGAGACGTACATACATGTACTGACGGCGTGTCTGTGTGTTTGTCTGGTCGAGATACTTTTTTCTATGAGATTTAAGTAGATGATCTATCTAAAATTTCATACAAATCTTTCTGTTAGCTTTTCAGTTTTAGTAATATATACGCATTTATGTATTACTTTAAATGATCATTTATTAGATATTATATATTAGTATAATTTAATTGTTATATATATTAGTTATTATTTAAAATTTATTTAGTTATTAATTAAAATTTTATTGATTGATTGATTTTTACTAGGCCTTGATTCAACAATTTTAATTCATATTATTTAAAATTGGTTTATTACATGATCACAATTAAAATGATTAATATATTAATATACTATGCATATATCTGTGTATGCACATACAATATTAAAATTATAAAATACATTGATGCGTAGTCGATAAGTCTCTTTTTCTGGTCGAGATACGTTTTTCTGTTCTTTAAAAAGATATTCTGATAAATTCACACACGTTTTTTCATACTTTCTCAAAAATAAAGCAATGAAGAAATTTCTTTCTTCGTGAAGTACATCACGACTTGATGTACAAGTAATCGTTAAATACAAGTTTATAATTATGACAATGATAAGAAAATTAATAATCTATTTTTATTTTTATATTTTATGATACAAATAGATATTTCCTATAATAACGAAGCTCATTTAGACTATCTTTTATGTCGTGCTCGGCTCTGTGACAGTGTTGCTTTTTTGGAGCTGCTTTACTTATAGTCGGTTGCCATCTCCTAAACAGAAAAATGTGTATTAAAAAAAAAATATATATATATATATCTCGTTTTCAACTTTACGAGAAAAATATATATTAATATGCAAATTATGATTTCTTTAAACTTACAAGTGAAAAAATTAGGCCAATAAGAATAAGTAAAATAAAAGACAGTTTCCTATTTTCAGTAAAAGTAGACCTTGATGCAATGTTCTAATATGCAAATTTGCAAATACATTTTTTAGCTTTTATAGTCTACGCACTGATTACATATATAAATTTACCTAGCCAAATCTTTAATCGTGCTAATATCAATAATTCTGTAGTGCAAGTAATTGTCGACCAACGGCATATACTTCTTTAGGAATATACGATCCATATAAACTGAGTTTCCAGCCAACGGGCATGTTCCTTCTGGGACATGATTCTCCAAAAAATTCAATGTCCTTTGTTGCGTTTCCTCCAATGTAATCTTACTCAGTCGACATTCATCGATTAAGCCACTCTAAAAGTAATTTGAATAAAAATTAATTGTATTGCTCGTAAATTGTAATTGCTATAATATAAAACAGAAGAGATTTTTCAAGGAAAAAAAGATATTACCTTTTTGTGTTGTACTTTACACCAATCAGACATATTTTCTAAAACCTTATCCGGTTGATGTACAACAATATTTAAGTAATCACTCGCAAGCTGTAACTGTTCATCAGTTATGAAACATGCAACTTCCAAGATATGACATGTTTCCACCTCTAGTCCTGTCATCTGAAAAATCCAGTTCCATCTTTAAAATTTGTTTCTTCTTTTTTTGTGCTGTTAGATATAATTCGCAATAATTGCGCACCTCCATATCAAGCCAGACAATGTGCTTCTCATTTTTAATTTCGTTTCGTGTTTCTGTCGGTGTCCAAATCGCATGGTCTACGCAAAATGGAATATTCGTCAGGGTAACTTCAATTAAACTAATTAAGTGAAAACTTCACTCTGGCATTGATGAAAATAACAACTTAGATTCGACATTCAATATTTTAATTATTAAGAATTAATTCCATGTATATATTGTATGTTGATGAAATACTACAAATACCATTTAACAAATTAATCAGAATTTCATCGAACAATAAGGTTCATTTCCACCAATATAAATTAATTTTAATCTTCCTTTAATTTACTTTTTATCAATCCTTTTTTAGTAAAGATAAATCTAAACCACAAGTTGACCAATATGAAAAACCAGGCTTAAGATAAAGCTGATAAATGTAAAGTGAGACAGCTTTCATCTCTTAAGCGGACATTTCTTAATGATTTATACAACAATCGTAATTACCGTTATTTAAACAACGTTGAGCTCCGCGATACAGGTACCTGGAGAGCAATCCAGTAGCGCGCGTAAAGATCATATTCGTTGTTTTAGAACCTAACCTTATCATATGCACGTTGTTTTAGAACCAACTTAACCTTATCATATACACGTTAGGAATTGTATTGCGTACACCATACAGGAAAAATGTAAAATTGCTCGTGCTATATAAATTGCGCCACTTAATCACCGCAATTCCGATTATTCGAAAATAAATCTGTACCAAACAACAACAAGCAATGACAACTCCTAAACTGAAGTTAAAGGGCGAAAGACCATTCGCCAATGCGTTAGAAAATCAATGGCAATAAACTGGAACAGTGAAACCTGGAACATATTTGTTCTGTGCTTAAAATGAAATAAATATATGTTCGAAATTTGATGAAAGCAAAAAGGAAAATTCTGTTATGTAAATAAAAAAAAGTCGAAACGTTCTTACATTGATTATCGTTAAAATAGTTTTAATCCTGTCTTCCATTAATTTTGATATGTTTAACAAACTAGTTTTTATTTCTTACCACGTTTCTGCGATCTCTCTATCACTTATTATTATATTGCTTTGCAGTTTCGAGCTTGAAAATTGATATTAATAAAAAAAAGATTTTAACTAGAACATAGGGTACATTCCGTTTCATGCATAATGCTTCATTTATTCTTGTTGTTTACCGAATGTTAAACAAGGATAAATGATACATTACGCACATCATGCGTGAAACGGAATGCATCCATAATAAACTGGAATAAGAAACCTGGAACGCACGTGTCTTGAAGAATCTCGACTGCGATTGATCGATTTACTTCCATTCCTTTGTACATTATGGCTTAACGAAAAGAAAAATCCGTTATCTCGCTATTTCTCATACGACCTGATCTTTAAATAGCACACATGTATCTTCTTCTCTTTGAATTTATTGTTTTTCATGGAAGCAGGATGTTAACAATATGTACTATTGTAGAAAGAACTGAACGTCAACAGCCCCTGTGGCCTAATGGATAAGGCATCGGTCTCCTAAACCGGGGATTGTGGGTTCGAGTCCCACCAGGGGTACAATTGCTTTTTACGATTCCCGATCTTTTTTTTTCTTTAAAAAAAACAGCCGCATTACAACTAATTCTCTTTTAAAATTTGCTTTCACTAAATTTCAAACGTATACCTATTTTATTAAAGATCAGATGTATGTGTCAAGTGTATATTTGTGCAAAAAATGATTGGAATTGGAAACTTATACTTTCTGTAAAAAAAAAATATATATATATATATATATAGTTCATTAAGGTCAATATTTATATATTAACAACATAATTTTATAAGTTTAAATAAAAATGTTCTTATTTTATATTATTTTTTAAAAACATTTACTTCTTATATTGAAATAATTTTTAACCAAATCCTAAATCATCACTAGATTTTTGTATTATTTTCGAATATAATATAGGAAAATCTGTAATTTTTTTCATTTTATTAAAAAGTTCTTTTAATACATCGATTAAATACAAAAAATGTTTAAATACAAAAAATGTTTAAATACAAGAATTATTTTAGTTATAAAAAGAAATCTCATTAAAATGCAGGAAACTTTTTTAAAGATTCTTAAATCTTAGCATTGTAATAATAATTCTTAATAAGAGTTAATATAATAACAGGGAATGGAAGTAACTCGTTACTT